TCCGGCCGTGGCAGTAGCGGCGGGGGGAGACGAAGCGGGTAGCTCGCAGTGGTTTAGTTGAAGCCGCGGATCCGCTTCCTTCTTGGCCTCCCTTCCCCGTCCCTGATTGGCTGCGAAGGAACACGTCACTCGGTCGCTCCTCCCAAGACCTAACCCCGGCAGCGCCAGGAAAGGAGGAAGTCGCTGGCCAATAACAGCCCTTCGTTGTCAGCGCGCGAAGGCCTCTTTAAACCCGCCCCGCCTAGGGGTCCCGACTACGGGTATTTCTACCAGCCAGTCCCAGCTTTGGGTGAAAACGCCCCACCCCAGCAGGGCAGATATTCGCGAAAGCGTTGCTCTTGGCCTCTACTCTTTTTTTCTCCCCCTTGGACATCTATTGGGTCAAATCCTTAAACCCCTCCTAATTTCTTATTATAATTGGCCAAAAGGCAAGTACTTCACCTGGAGAGAAGCGTCCCCAAATTAAGCCCACGCTCTTTGGCGTTTGATCCCGGAAAACCGAAGGGAGTGTTTGAACTGCGCATTCGCTTTTATTCTAGTTCAGTTATTCCATTCAGGTGACAATGGTGACAAGATCCCCGTTTCCTCTGCAGACAGACCCACCCCTTCGCAGGACCCCCTCGGACCGCCGAGTAGCCCGCGGCGTTCTCTTTCGGGCGGGCTCGGCAAGGGGGTTACCTTGTGACGTCACCGAGGAAGAGGCGGGTTCTCTCCCACTACAGGAGACGTCCGCCTTTTTGATTGGCTACTGAAGACGTCCGTTAGGACGTGTTGTCCTGCCTGTGTACGGTCGTAGCGTGGGCGTCCCTGTGGGGGTGTGTGGCAGGGGTTTCCAGACCCGGCACCAGCATCCGCTGCCCCTTCCATCAGGGGCACCGCTTCGGCTTCGGGTCGCCCCTGGTGGGCGGCTCTCGAATCTTGAAGAAAAGCACGAGAACCCAGACCGCCCGGGAGCTGCAGAGGCCCGCTGAACAGGCTGAAAGATGGCGGCGGCGTCGGTCTCTGCTGCTTCTGGTTCTCAGTTCTCGGTAAGAATCGGTTCGTGTTTGAATGGACTCGCACTCGGTCCCTGCGCCTCTGCGCGTTTCCCCACGTTTCAGGGCGCTCCGGGTCCACCTTTTAATTCTGTCCTGGAGGAGGGCGGGAGGGCGCCTAAATCGTCCCGCGCTATCCAGGCTTCCACTGCTCGTTTGTGTAGGCTGCACACTCCGGTTCCAGGGAAACAGGGCTGGCAGGTGTAAATTCCCATCCCCATTCGTCTTTCGGGCCAGCAGGCCAGGTTGCCGAACATTGCCGGGTTTGGCTGGGATGACTCTGCCCACTTTATACCTCTCCATTGGTCACGTGGGTGTAACGGCCGGTCTTGGAAACTCGCCGAGACCAGGTGTGCGCGCGGGTCTGTCTAATAGACCGCTGTTGAGTCTGCGGTCTCTCTAGCGCATTCTATTGTTTTTGTTGTTTCTTTCACCTGCAGTGCCTCTCCCGCCCGTCTTCTCATTAACTTTGTTCGCGATCCTCGCAGCTAGAGCGCGCGCTTCTTGCTTCCATTTCCCACGATATTACAATGATCGCACGTGGAAGGGCCCGTTTCCTGTTGTACAGAAGAGTTGTGTGGTTAATTCGTTCAACAAATACTTCCTGAGTGTCATTATTGAAACCTGAACTCTGGTGGGGACAAATGCACTTGCGCAGCAACAATTCTACAGCAATTGGTGTCTTACTGTTAAATTCTGACACTACCAAGATGTAGCTCTGACTCCCATATCTTAATGAGCTTTTGGTCTCACAAGACTGCCTCTACTTCAGACGTCAGCAGTTTCAAGGCACCTGCATTTCTGCCCAGCTGATGACAAATTTAGGGGCTCTCATGGCTCTGGAGTTCATCAGTTCACTAGAATGACTCATAGTACTCAGGAAAACAGTATACTGAAAATGATTAGTTTTATTATAAAAGATACAACTCAGGAACAGCTAGATGGAAGAAACACGGTAAAGTGTGAAGGGGTTTATGTATTCTTAACCAGACACACTGGGGGGGGGGGGGGGGGGGGGGGGGGAGGGGAAGCTTCTTTTTTCTCTCCCCAAGCAACGACAGGTGGTGGGGGGGGGGGGGGGGGG